AGAGAGAGAGGGGAGAGGAAAGGGAAAGGAGAGAGAGAGAGAGAGAAAGAGGAAAGAGAGGGAGAGGAAAGAGGCATAAAATAATTCATTTGCATTTAATTGTAATGGTTCAAAGAATGTTCGGAAAAATGTTCGGCCCTCCAGCACGTTCACTTCATCCAATCTGGCCCTCTTTGAAAAAAGTTTGGACACCCCTGCTTTAAGAGGAAGGCTGTTCAACTGTTTAATAACTTTCATAGTCAGGAAATTCCTTCTTAATTTGAGTTTGGATCCCTCTGTCCACAGACTGATTCTTCTCCTACACTCCTGCATTCCACAGAATAAATCCGCTTTCTCTTTCCTCAGAGGATACTTGAAGCATTGGAAAATTGTTATTGTGTCTCCTTTTAGCTCTTTTTAGACTAAACATACTATACCCAGTTTCTTTAACTATTCATAATAGGATTTAGCCTACAAGCCCCTCACCATTATTCCTGATCTTCTCCGCACACTTTCCAGAATTCTTCTTGAATTGTGGTGACCAGAACTGGGCAGCATCGTTGGGGCCTCAGTCTCTTCAGAGAGAGGCTGTTCCATAGGGAAGGACTGATCAAGTCACCCTTGTTGACTGAGGAGACCCAAAACATGCTTTTGCTACTGAATCTGATAGAATGGGGAGAAACCATGGGGGGAGAAACAGTCTGGCTCAGTTTGTGATGGCCTAGATAGTTATGATTCATGTAACCCATTTCAAAGTGTGGGTGGCACCTTTCTGTTGGGCTGTTGGGCTGTCTTTCAAAGGCCTCCCTCCTGTGGAACAGCCTGCTTTGGTATCTGGGTCTCTTCCCCTTTATTATTCCTTCAAAGACGGATAAACCTGGCTCTTCAGAAGAGCACTGGAGGACAATGAAGGGTGGGGTATTAATTACTATAATTTACTGCTTGGTCTAGTTTTGGTGTGGCTGTTAACCACTCACAGTTAGTAGGACATATAAATCTGAACAAACAAATAATCAGTCCAAAAGGCTTTAACAGATCTTGCCTTGAACATGGGCAGCATTCTGTGGCCCCTAAGTTACCTCCTGTTCTATGGTCTGTGATCCTCCTTGTGCCCAGTGCACTTTGTGGAAGGGCCAACATTGCAGAGTGGGCATTCTCCCTGACAGGCCTGTCACCTTGCATCCTCCAGTGATGAGACAGATGATTGGCATTTGGACCTGTTGCTTCTTCTGCTTGGCAGAATTGGGGCCTTTGAACTTCTGCCTTGTTAAGAGCTATGTCCCCTCCTTCGCCTTACATAACAAGGCTGTGGCATTTCCCCCCTTTCCTCCAGGTTTGGAACCAAAATGGTAAAAATCCATCTATAACATATGAATACATCCTGCAGACAAGACCTCATTTGAAAAACCTGCCACCAATTTACTATGGCTTCTCTGAATCAGATAGTGAAGAAAAAACAGAGTTTGAAGGAGGATTTCTTTTGGGGCTCGCTCAGCTCAACACCAGCCTGCTGGCCACCCTCTCCCAAGAAAAGGGCCACCTGGAGAAACTACTCTTTGACCAGCAAGGGCGAGTGGATGAACTGAAGCTGAGCAAGATGCAGCAGACCAATGAAGTTTACCCTAGGACCCCACTTGAGTATGGCCCTGTCCTCCCGAGCAAGATCTCCACAGGTGAGTAACCCAACGCTAAGGGCAGGCTTCTCCTTGTGGAGGTCCTGCTTCATGGCCATTGAAGCTCTTGCTGGAAAGGCCTTCTTCCAGTTAAGACGTTCAAGCTGTATTTTTCATTTCCATGGGTGTAAATTTCAGGGAGCCCTCAAGCTGGATGGCCCTTGAGAAGGGATCCAGATTACAGCATCCCACACAGATGCCTGCCCAACCCTCACTTGGACAAACAAACAGTGACTTTCAGAGCTTTGGAAACTATCTAGATTGATGTGGCCAAAATTGTCTGGATTGATGTTGCCTTCTTTGCCACCATATTGCACAGCTGGAAATTCATTTTGCCGTCAACTACTGTTCCAAAATTTTCATGAGTAGCAAGCCAAGTGTTTGATTTCTGTTTTCAAGTGGGAAACATTAGGCATTGTTCTGTTGCTTTCGGTTCATTTCTCAAAGCTAGTGTTTCTAAGTCTTGGCCATTTTAAGATGTATGGACTTCCAGAATTTCCCAAAGAGTATGAAACACTGTTCTAAGCTATCCAGATTGTTTTGAATTATTTTCTGTTTTCTCCAGTATTAACCCAATCTGTAAGGATCCGCCTCCGTTTCCCTACCCAAAAAGTAGAATTTATTTCAAAAGGAACTTTTATTGGCAGGTACAGACAGCAGGAAAGCTAGGCAGAATCTGAGGGTTTCTCGCCCGTGTAATAATAACCACTCATCTCACATGTGTCACTTTAGGTGGGTTAGAGTAAAATAGATAAAATATATAACAGAAAAATAAAAACATGTGGCAGTCAAGCTTCTTAAACAGGACCATCAACAAAGTGTGGACTCTTTCATACATCCAGAGACCCACATATGGGCACAAAAACACATTTCAAGGATATATTGAAGGACCAGCAGGGTCAGATCTAGTCTGGTGTCATAATAACAGAGTTGGAAGGGAGGTTGGAGGTGTTCTAGTCCAACCCCCTGCTCAAGCAGGAGACCCTAGACCAGTCCAGACAATGGAATAATGTTCTAAAGGCAGAAAAAAGCCTCCTTCTGGGCCCTGCCAGTTGACAATCTTTCACTGATGATGCCTAGGATATGCTTGTCCTACTAGACCAGACAGGATAGGTAGAAGCAATAGAACAGAGACCATCCAGGCCTAAGCCCTGAAAAGCTTTAAAGTTGACAGTCGAAACCGAATTGTGGCCAGAAGCACATTGGGAGCCAATGTAGTTCATGGAGCAGAAGCTGAAGCTTCCAAGTATTTCTCAAGAGCAGCCCATGTAAAGTAATCCAAGTGGGAGGGGATTGAGGCATGAGTGATCATGAAAAGAGACCCTCTCCCCTCTCTGGGTCAGGAACAGGTACACCTGATGCACAACCGGAAATTGCACAAAGCCCTCCTAGCCAAAGCTAGGTCCAGATGAATCCCCAGATTGTGCGCCACGCCATCCTGAACCAAAGATGGAAGGCTTCTGATGCCACTCAGCCTCGCCTGGGGGTGGCAAAGCCTTTTGCACCCCATCCAGGCCTCTGCAGTTATTATTATTATTATTATTATTATTATTATTATTATTATTATTATTATTATTATTATTATTATTATTATTATTATTATTATTATTATTATTATTATTATTATTATTAATAATAATAATAATAATAATAATAATAATAATAATAATAGCCGCCTATGCAAAGAAGCTGAAGAAACAGTGGACCACCTGGTAAGCTGCTGCAAGAAGATCGCACAGACTGACTACAAGCAGCGGCATGACAAAGTAGCAACAATGGTGCATTGGAAGATCTGCAAGAAATATCATTTGCCTGTAAGCAAGAACTGGTGGGATCATAAAATAGAGAAAGTCATAGAAAATGATAAAGTNAGACCTACAAATAGAAATAGAAAGACTGTGGCAAAAGCAAGCAAGGGTAGTACCAATAGTAATAGGCGCCTTGGGTGCAATCCCAAAACAACTGGAGCACCACTTGAACACCATTGGCATTGACAAATTCGCCATTAGTCAATTGCAAAAGGCGGCCTTACTAGGAACTGCTTCCATCCTGCGACGATATCTGTAATACTATCAAACATCCACATCTGCCTATCCCAGGTCCTGGGTAAGGACTCGATAGGTAGACAAAATGCCAAATCCAGTCTGGACATCTGGCTGACTGTGTGATGATCAATAATAATAATAATAATAATAATAATAATAATAATAATAATAATAATAATAATAATAATAATAAAAAGTTGGGAGGGACCTTGGAGGTCATTTAGTCCAACCCCCTGCTCAGGCAGGAAACCCTATACCATTTCGGACAAATGGCTGTCCAGTCTCAAAAACTTCCAGTGTTGGAGCATTCACCACTTCTGGAGGCAGGTTGTTCCACTGGTTAATTGTTCTAACTGTCGGGAAGTTTCTCCTTAGTTCTGGCACCCCTCGGGATTCTGCTTAAGCTTGTTGAAATTGGATCTCCTGAATCTGGGGGAAGGTATGAGCAGTTTCCCTTTCTCTAGGACTCCAAGAAAAGAGAATCACTTCCTTGCAAGAATCCTACTACTTTCCCAGTGATTACAAACGGATCTTAGGAGAATCAATCTCCTTGTTTTTCATCAGCCTCCTACAAAATAAAAGTCGGCAAGGCCACGGAAAAACACTTTGGGACCTTGCCATTTTGGCTGAGCTGGTTTTCCAACAGATGTCCAAGTAGTTGAACTCGCCTGTTATTACTGTGTCTTCCTTCCACAAACATTTAGAAATTAATCCAGGAGGATTTTCTCCAGGTCATCTGCCTAGTTTGGCAATCTCTAATTCTACCCCAAGAATATGTTCCCCTCCCTTCTATTCTTACCCAGGCGCTCTGGCTGGACCCCCAGATTCCTGATCTCAGTGCACATGTGCATTTCCTTCACATGTAACACCATACTTCCCTTTGTGTGACTTCTTCCTTTTGAACAAAGTTCACCCTTCAGGTCCTGCCTTCCACTTTTTTACTGCTTCTCCCCCATATTCTGGGTGGCTCTCTGGAATCCTTGGGCCACATAACATTACCTATCCTTTCTTACACTCAGGTGGCCATTACAAAGTGCCTCCATGGCTTGTGCATTCCTCCAAATTCCTTCTAGGTCACCCCATCCCAGAAAAATCTTTTTTCATCTCATTCAGGAAGAGGCACACTATTCCTTGTAAAAAAAAAACTCGACCCTTTACCTATTTCATCAATCTATTTAGCAAGCATGTTTTTCATCCTAATGGCTATTATTGTAGCAAACAACATTCTTTGCTGGAGCAAATTATGGGAACCTGCATGTATTTCCATGCTTTATTATCCCCTTAGAATAGTCTGAAGAGTTTAAATGAAAAAGTTTCTGCTGTTTGTGTTGTTCCAATATTGTGCTAGAAACAGAGCCCTTTGTTACTAAATTTTCTTCCAAATCTGGATGAATCACATTGAAGTAACTGGATCAAATTGGGCCATATCCAGAGCTCTAGATACTCTGGGCCAAGTAACTCTAGATTATCAAGTTTTATTTTTACAGCAAAACCATGGATATACTATGTGAACCCAGCATTATCTCTCAACCTCAGAAGTCTCCATCTACATTATGGAATTATAAGAGTTGGATTTACAATCCTTACATCAAGAGTTTTCTGGATTACCACAGTAGAACATTGGGAGTCTGAGGTGTAGCCCATCTGACATTTTCCATTTCACTTTTTGAATTTGGTCAATTGTTCAGTTACCTTTGTTTTTTTCCCACTTCTCATTCCAGAATCAAACACAACTAAAACCAATTATAAGGTGGAAGGAAATAGAAGTGAACTGGACTCCCTACTCCCTTCCCAAGAGTTCCTTTTAGAAAATACAATCATCCACAGCTTTGGGGAGAAGAGATCAGATTCAAAAGAATCCATCTGGAACAAGACCCTGAACAGTATCTTTTCTCCAGTGAACCCCATCAACACTTTTGGGCCTGAAATAGACCGTCTTTATGTTGATTATGATGACAGTGATGACCTGCTGGCTTATGCTGCTAATGGCACTTTTATGGAGCTGACCCATGAGGAAGCCAGCAACATATCTGCAGAGATCCAGATTTCCAATGCAACTATTTCTGCTGCCAATGCCCAGGGGAACAGAACCCAGAAGATAAGGTAAGTAACTGACTATGCTTTTTGGGAAGTGAAATTTTGCTCTAATGTTGTTTCTAATGCATTTCAAGATGAAGACCTGTACAGTAAGTAAGATAGATACTGTTATTTAAAAAAAAGCTGAGTTGCTTTCCCAAAAAACTATGTGGAAAAAGAGAAGGTTGTTGCACATTTGCCTGAATAGAAACTCAATTCATGTGAAGACCTTTTCTATCCTCAGAGCATCCTTCCCTCCAGAGAGGAAGATGTCATGGTATGTGAGAACGGCCTTGAAAGAAGAGGGGAAGGAGGGAATGATCAGATAAGCAAGGGAGAAGCCCCGAGTGGTTTAATGGTCAGAGAAAGAAGCTTAGGCACTGACAGACTTGCAAGATTCTGTTAATGTAACCTTACAAAAAGTAGAATTGTCTTATCTGGTCGTGTTCCCAGTCTAGCTTACTTGGGATGGTTGACCTAGGAGAGACTTCTCTCCCTTCCATATTAACATGCACACACACCCATGGCAGTGGGACATGCACTCCTTTTCTCCTGGAAGAGGAGGAAGAGGAGGAAAGGACCACAAGATCTCGAAAGTTCTAAACTTGGTGACCTGGCAGGAAGAGCTATTAGGCTGATGCTTGCTGAGCCCAGCACAAAATTTTTTGAAGTTTACATAATTCCTCTTCGAACCTGCCTTCATTTCATTTCATTTCTCCTTTTCTTTTTCCTTTCCTCTTTTTTCCAGTTCTGTTCCCACAAGGAGAAAGTAGATGTACTGTATGTTGGTTTGAGTGTGTAAACAGTGAATGCGCATTTTGTGTATGGAATATGTAGATATTATTGGGAGATTAAATTTACATATGAAATGCCTTATTTTATAGGCAGTTAATTTGGTTTAAGACAGAATTGGCAAGCCTTGGTTAACAGGTTTGGGAAATTGAACATTGCACAGGATTCTTTTTTTTTTCTTTGTTCGAAGAGGAACATCTTAAATTTAGGATCGACTTCCTTTTGGTAATTATGGTAATTTTAAAGTAAATGAAAAATGCAAGAAAACAATCAAGCCCAAAGAGCACCAAGGTTCCCTTAAATGAAAACTGTATTATACAGATTACAATCAGGTTCTTTAATATCAAAATGTTCTTCAAATAAAAAAGAAGAAAGGTACATTGCTATTACGATCTTTCTGGTTTTATGCTGGAGCAGAATCTAGAGAAAACAGAGCAGGTATGTTCCTTTGGGATGGGAGGTGGTTCTGAAGTCATTGGGTCCTACATAACCTGAGCCTGAACCAGAATCTGAGTTTTGCATCCTGGCTTTTTAAAGCACTCCTTCAGAAGATGGGCACAGTTCCTAGGCAGTTGGCCTATTAAGGGGAAGACTTGCTCTGCAAATCCAAAACAGCAAGGCTGGCAGGAAGCAGCAATTAATTGTAGATGAGACTTAGCTAGGCCAGGCGAATTTCCAAGTCCAGCAGTCCAAAGTCAAGCCAAAGATTTACATGCCAAATCAAAGGAGAGACAAGGTCATAGTAAATCAACAAGCTGTGTTGTAAATAACAAGATCCCAAGTGTCTCAATACACAAGCCAGATGCTGGAACTGCTTCTTAGTAAGATACCCTTGTTTCTAGAACAACTTTCTCTCTGCTGAGTATACACAGCTGTAGTCAGGCCTTGCTCAATGTTCTGCTGCTTGCTCAGAAGTTGCCCCCTTTGGTGAAATGCAGAGATCCCTGGAGGAATTGCTGGGGTGAGGGGTAATTGAGTGCCTGGGGCAGTCTGTATTGCAATTGAGTCAGAACATAAGGAATAGACAGAACAATCCAAACTTGGCATGAAATGTGGCTACAGTGATGCTGGTTGAAACTGGGAGATGATTACCAGTGATTTTTCAACCCAACTCAGAATGCAACTCTTGACTTTGAAAGGGCTGCTGTAATTCATTCCACTTATACGTTCACATCTGCCTTCTTGAGTCCTCCCATCTTCTTCTTCTTCCTAGTTGAGGACGCCAGCATTTTGTGGCCTGGTGTATCACGGAGCCCAGTCACTGTCTGGCTGGCTGTGGTGCAGGAATATGACCTCATCTGGGACTGCCCTCAGCAGCAAATTAAAAGTCTGCTTTATACCACAAGCCCTGTAACCAAAATCACAGAGGGTGTTGTGTATTCCGTGACACCCTTACGCCAGACTTAGTTTGGTTATTTTTATTTTGTTAATGTCAATGGTCTGACTAGCAAACACAAGCAAAAATGGAATCCTCTGGGCAATTGAATCCCAAAAGATAAATCTTTATTGGATATACCATCTCAGAACTGAAGAAGCAAAACCAGCTCTGGGGTTTCCCACATGAAAGCTTACAAAATTAAATAAAAGGTTCCCTGGTTCCCACCCCTCGGGTGTTCATCTTGTCCAATGGTAAAACTTCTTTTTCTTATGAGAATAGTCCACTTCTCTATCGAGCACCTGAAGCAGTGACCTTGGTGTTTTGCGTGCTCTCATGGTTTGTGAATGGCTCTTTGCATTCTATTTCCTCCCTTTGCTTTCCACGCCCCCTTTTTGTTGGCAAGATGATTAGCATTAGAAACTAGAAATCAGTATAGTGATTCAGTCCTGAAGGAAGGGTAGACCTGGGAAAATATTAAACACAAAAACATCATTACTCAAAATCCTTAGTGTTCAATCATCTCTTTGGACGTTGATATTTGGCATGGAACCTTCTTATTAACTTGTCTGCACTAACATTATGGGCATCAGTTGAGGGGTAGCCTTTCCACTGCACTCAGTACTGTGACTTCCCCTTAAAGTATCTTCAGTATTTTCTCAATCTCATAGTGTTCCTCACTGCCCACCATAACAGGAGGAGGGGGCTCCTTTCCAACTGGCCTCAGGTTCCTTGAAGTGGCTTTAACAGGCTACAGTGGAACACTGGATGGACCTGTCTTAAGACTTTCGGTAACCACAGTTCAACTGTAACTGGGCTTATAATCCAAACAATTTGGGGAGCCCTTTTCCAGTCAGCCTGCTTCTTTTGTGACTCCTTGGTTTTATTGAGTGCCTTCTGACATCCCCCAGGTGGCTTTTAGGGTATCCATCCATTCAGCTAGCGATACTGAGGAGGGAGGTTCCCTTAGAAGCTCTGGCATGGGTACAAACTCCAGTTCAGTGGCTACTTTGAATGGGGTGAGCCCAGTGCCACTATGGACTGAGTTATTATAAACCACTTCTGCGAAAGGCAGGAGCTCCACCCAATTAGTTTGCTGATAGTTCAGATAGCAACGCAAGTATTGCTCTACTAATGCATTGATCTGTTCAGCTGATCCATTAGTACTCGGATGAAACCCTAAGTCCCTGGGAGGAGCCTATTAATTTTATAAACTCTCACCAAAAGTTTGCACTAAACTGCACCTCCTGGTCAGAGATGATGTGCTCCATGCAGCCAATACACATGCTGCACAAACATTTTGGCCAAATTCTGGGATAAAGGAAGCTTCGGGCATGCCATGAAGTGCGCTTGTGTAGCGGGGACTGCCCGAGAGTGCTTGCAGGAGCTTGACTGGGAAGGGGAAGATTGGGACAGCTGCAGTTGGCTTGGGTGTGGCTGGCGTGAGTGGAAGGAGGAAGGATAGAAAAGGGAAGAAAAGGAGAAGGCCGGGGTTGGTTGGAGTTGAGAAGGGAAGGTCTGGAAGCTTACTTTATTTTTCTATCAAGGGT